ATTTCTGAGTTCGAACGCACTGCATGGTGTGACGGATCGCCAACTCAAATAAATTTTCAGCGTCTTGGTGACACGCTGTGAACGTCGAAAATATGGCATCAATGTGTCGGGCTCGAGAAAACACCGTGACCGAGCTTGCTGCTGGCCTTCTAGTGCTAGCGCCTGTGCTAGATCGGCACATGCTGTTGCCCCAGTTTTCTCCCTCGATCGCTGCCGGAAAACGACTCTGGGGTGTCCCTTCAAGCGATAAGAAGCTTGACAAGGAAAGTTTTTTAGCAAGACCATGACACCCGGCGGTGCACGTTTGTGCCCTGCATCATCATTCTAGGAACCTTGTCTACGATAGAGTGGACCAACCCTGCTGTGAAAATAAGCTCAATGTAAGCTTTCAAGCATGCTTCTATGAAATGCACATGCGCGACGTAATCTGAAGTCAATTATGAATTATTAGTTCTGGAATAGTCCAACGAACGTTCCACTCACCAAAACGCCGGCCTGAAGTGTGGACGCGAAACTCAGAACGATCTTGGAGCGTAGTTGAGGCGCCGAAGTGACTTAACGCACATGACGGAGAGTGTTTGTCACTGTTTAGTTTAGAACCTTGTCAATCGAGCCTCCAGAATCGGACGAAATCAGAAATATTGTTCAAGGCAGAAGAAGACTGCAAGCGCCAGTCTCCCAAAGCTTGCCTTGCAAGTAAGTCGAAAAAAAAACGCGCAGAAGTCAGAAACGATATTGACCAGCGTGTAGTTGCGAGCTCATGCATGCTTCATCATGCATCCCGCCTGCTTAAATGTTCATATATTCCGCCAGACACCACGTCTTCATTTTCTGCAATTTTGCAGTCAGCTGCAGCTCGCGCTTGGACTCGACGTGTTAAATACCATGGATCTCTTCTTCCCGACAAGAAGCATGTTGGGATGTCTAGAAATTCACGTTCTGATGAATCGTTCGTGCGGCAACCTCAGACACCACGTCGAGGTCAATGTGTCATACCCATAGATCCCGACTCCATCTCTATAAGGGAGGCTTCGTGGAAGGATCCAGGTCGCAGCGGAATCAATGTATATCCCAAACCCTCCCTCCGAATCCGCTACTTTCGTCAGTGTCCATTCCCTCGCCGCTGCGCCGATACCTCACCTACCAACTCCCACCTCTTGTGAGACGTTCTATCAAAATCTCCTGGACATGCATAATTACTCGCACTCATCACTCACTACACTCGTCAATTACCATTTCTCAAACCCTCGGGACACGGGTCTCCTTCGTTCAACTCGTTCCTTCAATTTCTTGGTTTCTCTTGCTTTGAGACAAGCGGCTTTCGGCACTGCTGCCCGTCTTCTCGATGCCATGAAAGCCGAGTCGGTCCTACCAAATCTCGAAACGTGGAAATTAACTGTAAGGTGGTTGGTACGGACTGGCAGATGGGATGAGGCTATGAGACGTGTTCAACGTGTTATGAGAAGAGAGCGGTGGCCAGAAGAGTTAGGCTTACGATCCGGGCATCAGGATGGACTACCATTGCCTTTGTGGATGGAGTTTTTCGGCTCTTTGAAACGCGGTGCTCTACGACGGTGGGTTAAAATTCCGCAACGGCGAGGCGATGGATGGAAGTCTGCGAACTTCAGATGCGTGGTCTTGCAAACATCCACGGTCTCTGGTCCAGTGCAGGTTTCTCGCTATCGTTCTCTTATGAACATGTTTCCACTCGTTGCCTCGCCCGAATATTCTCAGCTGCCACCAAGGGCCGTCTTTTTCATCGCGGAGGCTATGATTCAGTTGGGAAACCACGTCAAGGCGCTCGAATCTACTTCATTATACTTCCAAACGCTCCCAAGGAGACTCAGCCGCAGACAGCAGCACGCAGTGCTGGATATCATTCACTTGCACATCAGGGCTGTAACCGAGAAATCAGGACTTGGTCGACATTTCGCCCAACGTCGTGTTATCTCCCATTTACTTTCAGCTCACCCTGGGATCCGACCATCGTCAAAAACACTTTTTTTAATCCTCGCAAGTCTCCGGTCTTGCAAACGATGCGGGACTCTCGCCATGAAGTGCCTCAAAACCTTTCGCACGCGATGGGGTCCGCGCACAGAATCCAGCGTTGTCAGGCGGCGGATCGCTAGTCTCTCCATCAAAGAAGGACGTCCTTGATATCGCCGCGGTTATGCTCGAATCTGAGCGAACACTTCGCTTGCAGAAGCAATCATGGCGAACGCAACGGGACATTACGGGAGGTGCATCCCCTCGGGCTTTTACCAGGTTACTTAGACGGCCAACTGGAAAGATTTTTCATGGAAGGGGAGCCGAGAATAGGAAATGGCAGGCGTTGAAGAGGAAGGTTTCAATGCTGAAGCAAAGAAGGGTCGAGGATTGTGCAGTGACGTACCGAGTAACTTAGCCAGTCGTTGTAAATTTACTTGGAACTCCGAGGCGAAGCCAATGCACCCCTACATAGAGTCATAAAGCCCATAACGAACTGGCATAAAACGAATTGGCATAAGACGAGTGTATAGTAGGATTAACAGCATCTAAATACGAAATAGTCCTGCGGAAGAATGTCATGTAGGTGTAACGAGTAGTAATCGGCATGGAAATTGTTCAGAGATAGCAACGCGAGAATGTGCTAGGAGGAAGGGATGAGGGCCAATTTCCGATGGCAATTGCCCCTTCCCATTCAGACGAAACAGTCCGATACAAGTCAAGTGCAGCACGTGCATTTTCGACCTACGGGAAACATATTACTCAGGGGTCGAGCAGGACTGTCATGACAGTAGGAACTCACTGGGTGAAGCTGGCCATCTTGACATCGACGGCACATCAAATGCCACATAAGAGTTTGAAGGCCGATCACCTGATTAGGGGACCGAAGAGCGTTTCGGAAAGGCTGATATAGAGCAACGTCCCGAGTAGCCACTGCGGGGTGAGGAATTCCTAGAACTGGGTAAGACGTCAATAAGTGACAACTGGGGTAATTGAACAAAAGCTATGCTTACCAGAGAGATCGTTCCACAGACTGTGGCCAATAAGTACCTTGCCCTTGATAAGGTCAGCAACGTGCTGTTGGACTTGGGCGAAAGTAGGGGTGTCGGCTGGTGTGATAGGTCGGGTGAATAGCAGAAAAATGACACTGGGTTCTTGAACTCACGAGAAAGAAGGTGAGAAGATTCTATACCGGTGGTTGCAGTTCGGTAGTCGCTGACTTGCATGGTAGGTGATACGTATGTATCAAGTGTGACTTGACCTTTGTAATCGACGATGGAGACGCGTCTGGAATGTCAGTGTTATAGATGAGGGGGTCATGAAGAATCCGCATGACGAACGCGAGCATTGCGGTTGTTCCACCAGGACCAACGCCAACATTCATGCAAGATAGAGCGAGTATTTTATCGCTGGATGGGACAGGGTACTTAGTAGCCATCTTAGTGAGATAGAGGACTGGGTCCTACCGTTATATCCTTCAAGACATAGCGATCGAGATCCATGTCGTAGACTACATCAATAAGGAATAGACCAGCTCGACACAAAGGTGCGTTCGAGCATGAGCCGTGGTTGATTGATGTAAAAGCCCGAAGGTGGGCACGTAACATTAATGTGCGTTAGGACTTGACCATTAAAATAATAACGATCTACGGCAGGAAGGAAGAGCTTAGCCTTGTGGAGATCTGGCAAGATTTATCCTGACTCGAAGTCAGGTGAAATTAATGCGAGGTACCTGGAAAAAACACATGATGGTCCTGGTGACGATACTTTCATGTACAAGCGTGATTACTTACGTCTGTAGAGCGAAAATTGACTGGGACCGAGTATGATATCGCGCATCGCTTAGTAGTTGGCCATTGACTGTAGTACGACTCGGCTGCTTGTTAGTGGTGGTGGCGAGTGACATGGATGAGAGCAAGGAGGAATTAGAGAACATCTGAAGTAGATCTGCAAGTATGTTTATGATTGAACGAGAGCAGTTGCTACTTACCAACTTAGAAGACTATCGGTTATCGCCGACGGAGAGTATTCGCTCACCAGAAATGCCGGTTATTCAATATTCAGTACTATGGAAGGTTTCCCCGATTTCAGCACTAGTGTGGACCTAATGTATCAGAAGAATTTTCTTCAAGAGGTGGGGCGTCAAATCAGGTCCCTTCGCCTAATTTGTGCAACCGGGGATTTACATAAATTAGTAGCGGTATCATCGGAAATTTATCGTGGAGGGGGACATTCAGCTCGTAGCAACGATGGGGGGATTCGATATCAAGAAAAAAAGAACGCATCAGCCATCGCCCAACAAAGTGATATTTACTTGATAGCGCGCAATAAGCGCGACAATGGCCTGAGAGCGTTATGTGAACTTTGAAGCAATGAAACCCTCGCCTTTGAAACGCGGTGATCCCTTAACCCCTGATGCAGTCGAACAACGTCCTGGATCGCGCGACTGAGCTCTGTATTAAATACGTCAACTCGAGGAACCTAGTCACCGAGTAACATTACCTTCCACTGCCACCGTTTAGACGTAAAGAAACACGATGAAAATTAAATTCAAGCACCGAAGCGAACTGACTTGACACGGATTACAACCTTGATGTCGAACTAGAGTTGTGATAGAGTTGTCCCATCAGATTATGTGGAGATACACTATCCTCCGACTTTTCACGCCAGAAGACAGGTTGATCGACAGAAGAGTAGCGTTGCACCCACAAGTTGCTATTCAAACTCCGTCACGGCGCTCATCGGCAGGAGCTAGCTCACTCATTTCTGCTTCAATTCTCATTCAACCCAGACAGTGATATCTATGTCAGTTAAAGTAGCTAGAAATACGTGAAAGGACCGCTCTGGCTTAGCTTCATAGCGCTCAGTTAGGAAAATCTATGCTCTATTCGGCAATTTCCACATACGAGCCAAATTATGGTGCCGAATGCCAGGCCGAAGTCCCCTCGTACGAATGTCCATATTTGTCACAATATTTGCACGAAACTGATCATAATCATTCCTCGACGCCGACAGTGCAACATGTGTGCATGAACATGGCCAACATGGCAGAGCCACAGAACAAACCAGCGCCCGAGCAGGAGAAACAATGCCGTATCTGCTTCGATGGCGAAGACGACACATTGGGAAGACTTATTCGACCTTGTCTGTGTAAGGGTTCCATTAGCGTCAGTCAGCTCCCTCCAATGCATTCGAACATCGATACACTGACATCTATTTAGTATGTCCATATAACCTGCCTGAAAAAGTGGAGGAACTCGTCTTTCAGCAACAACTCTTTCTATCGCTGTCCACAGTGCCATTACCGATATCACTTTGCTCGAACCAAAGCAATTGGGTTGGCGACCAACCCGAGTGAGTGAAACCTTCCACATAGTGAGATGATACTGACGTCCTTCCAGTCGTAGTTGGCATGATATCTTCCTTTTTGTTCACCTTACTTGTCATGTGTTCGTCCTATGTTACAACGTATTTCATGAGTTCCTTCGACGATTATTCGTCCTACGGATCATCATACTACTTCTTCATTTCGCCGATTGACGTTGGCCACGATCTCATCCGTGCAGCATTGCGAATACTTCGAGACCAGGACGCATTTCCTCTAGAGGACAATGTTCCAAGACTGACGAGGACTGATCCTGCCCCGTTCCCATCCTCACCATCATTCTTGAAGCGGTTTGTGCGCAGGTTCGTGATCGGCCTCCCTATGATAGGTGCCGGATCTATAGTTCATATGCTGCTGTCGCTGCCCCTTCTGGGGCCAGTCCATTGGATAGCTCGTTTCAGGGGTAATAGAAGCAGGAGGGGTAACTCAACAGACATAGCTGCGATGATCATCTTGGGTTTACTAGTTATTGGGATTGCGAGGCAGGTGTCTCTTACGCACATTGTATGTTTGCCTGATCATTGCATCCAGGGCGTTATACGAGGCGTACAAATTGACACGAAAGATCAGCGAACGTTTACTTCTGTTTGCGGAGGATGTCATTCTGGAAGTCAATTGATTTACCCGACATAGGTGTTATGAAAGTAGTAGGATTTTATGATGAGTAATAGATAAGGCTTCCCATGTGCTACCAGTTTCTTCTTAGCTGACGTTTGATTCCTTCATAAATTGCCTTTGTCTCCGCCTGATTGGTACCTAGTTCCGTCAGGTACTGCCCAACAGCAAGATCTATTCTGCCAACAGGGAATTCTCCTCGGGGAACTGAGGATTGAGGGCGTTTTGCCTCCTCGAGCCAGTCATTTAAAAGAATTGCAATGTCAGCAGATACGACTTGCACGCCACTTTGCGTGTTGAAAGGCGGTATCTGTGTTGCCGAAATTAGATTCACTCGTGCAAAGTTCTCAGATGAGACCCATTACCTGTGATTCATACATCTCATGGAGTACATCCCACACATCCCCGTAAGGAACGCCACACTGAACAAGCACCCGAGGACTCCAACCGTTTGGTAGTTGTGTTCTGTTTTTGAGAGCGAACTTGACCAACAACGATGCAATGTACTCTGAAATTATGTTATGAGCTGAGAAGACCCAGAATAAGTGCAGTCTTGACTCACTCAAGGGGAAGGCACTCTCGGAGGGGTAAAATCGTTTCCCTAGTGGAACAACACATGCGATGATGTGGTCAGCATTGGTTTGTGCATCCGCACCCTTCTCGATTGCTTAACGAGACGCGAGTAAGACAGGCGCCAACTTTTCGTAAACTGATCTTACGTACCATCATCAAATATCCTATCCCATATAGGACGGACAACGTGTTCATCGTGATGATCAGAGACATGCAAGATCAAGAGCTTCATGACCGGTAGATCGAATGGTTCCGCATAAACTTGATACAGCTGAACGCACATAAAGAAAACAACGACTGAGACATTTCATTGGGACATACCTCCGACATGGTTAACAAGGTCTTGCTGAGATACTTTATTTTCTCTCCAGCTTCCCCAGGATCATTCATGTGAGGTAAGAGGGCATTGTATACCTCGAGCTGTACTTGAGCAACGTCCAGTTTTTCCTCGAGGTTGGTAAGGAAAGAAATAGCAGTCTCATGCCTGCCACCGATGGTCACGGGATGAGACTTCGCATTGGCAACGGCCAGTGTCAGGTACTCGAGGCGTTTGTCCAACAGCAAGTCAGTACTGTATGTCTGATGAGGTGTCGATTGAATAGAATAGATAGACACAACACTCACTCAGACTCTGCTAGGACAGCAAGTATCTCTGCGGCGCGCAACGGTTGACCGTCTTTCACATAGAATTGCCACAAAAGCTGATACTTGGGCACCGTGATCGGTTCCCGCTTCAGGTGGGCTTCCAGGAATGGAGGCCGCATCTACAATCATTCCAGACTTATCAGCGAAGTCAAGATTGTTGAGCACGATAACAACGTACCGCCAAAAGCTCGTCAGCAAGACCACGGTTAATTAACCACTCATATAACGTAGAGTGAAACATCTCGTCCTCGCTGGAAAATGCAAGGTCATAGGCATGGCTGCGAATAGCTTCGGGGTCGTCAATTGCGTTTGACGCTGAGCCTTTTACAGAATGACTCTGTGTCTGTGAGGCTTGTTCCTCAAAGACGCTCAGAGAATGCAGGACAAGGTCGTAACACTTGAGTCGTCTGTCGCAATACTCCTTTCGGGTGTCATTTGGCGGACATGCCGCATACCAGTACTCGAGGCCCAGATTATCAGAGTCTAGTGCCTGGGCGCAACTCAATGGAAGTTCCACAGCTCCTGAGCGGGTGTAAATATAGTGACCACTAGACCAAAACGTACTAACCTTTGGCATAACCGAGCTGCTGATATTCACCACAGACTTCGCGAATTTTGTCAAAGTCTAGCATCCGCGCACCTTTGGTAAACAGTCTGGTGCAATACAGTGAGAATCATGAGCCCTATCTGGTATCTTCAATTTACCTCAGAGATTCGCCGAGCCAGTTATGACGTTCGGAGGGATTCCGTGACTCCATGGCCTTACGAACGCTTTCACGAGCCTGATTCACTGTAAGACGGATCACTAAAACAGGAAACAACTACTACGACTAACCTTGTACAACATGACATCGTCTGTGCTGCAAAACGAGCCACAGCGTTGCTGTAGTACCTCACTGATTGTATCCACCTGTACAGAGCTTGTTATCCCAGTACAGCAGGTTTACAACAGATACGCACGCTAATCTGTTGACCGATCTGTTGGTCAATTACGACGTTAACCAATGCACGTGCAGCCGTGACACCATTTTGTGAAGTAATAAGGTCTTCAAATGTCATGGAAGTGATCAACTTTTGCGTATCAGGATCGCACCTGGCAATCAGCTTGAGATTAGGAAATTCCCTGCCCATCAGAAATGCTTACTGGGCTGTCAGCTCCCCCAGCCTGTAATCGTTCAACAGAAGTATGAAAGATATTGCTTCGATTGTCCTGGATAATAGCGCTTGGAGCTGGGAAACAGAATTTTGCTCAGCCTAAGGAAAGATTAAGCGAGAGCATCACGATGTGGAAGACGAATAACCTTCCAAGCTTCTTGCTCATTGCCAGATGACGCCCGCGATACTGAATGCTCTCCAGGAGCAGAGTGGAATAGGTGAGGGTTTTTATCCAGAAACTCCTTCAGTGCGAAGAGGTTTTTCTGTACAGTTACCAAAAGGTTATCCTCGAAGTTCGACTGTTGCAAACCAGGGGGGCTGTGCGATTTCAGTATGAGAAGAATCGACTACGAAGGTTTTGGACCTTACCCTGGCTTTGTTAACTTGTCTTTCCACAGCGGCCGTACTAGACGTGCGAAGTATATAGCAAAGCCCTCCCTTCGACCACTGAAGATGGCACTACCAGAACTGTCGCCTGAAAGGTGTGAGTTCGAGTCTGATTAGAGAATGCACTACTTACTTGTACCGTAAGTCACTCGTTCTGTCCAAATTGGTCGCTCGCCAAAATCATAAAACGCTTGCTTAGCAACGTTAGCAATATCGGGACTAATCGTGCAGAGTGTGCCACTTGTCGATGGCTCTCCAGCATCCAGGAAAGTATTCCCGCTTGCAAGACCGAGTAACATGGCACATGTCTGATCTCTTCCAAAACTATATAAAAGTGAGTTTTTGAGCGATGTATTTACAAATAAACCTACCTGTCTCTGAACTCAATTATTGGCTGCACCACTCCCTCGGTCTGGACTTCTTCTATGACCGCTTTGAGATAGTCCAAAGCTCGCCTTTTGATCAAAAATGTGAGACCGACATTCGTGAGGATCATAAATTGTCGTGAAGGCTCAGAAATTGTGTTGCGAGTTCATTTGTGACCGGAGGTGAAGGAGCAACTGACGCAAGGGTCGATTCTCGAGGAACCGTCGCCATTGACCATGTCCGACCAGGGATGGCCAGCAAGGTAGCATATTCAGTTAAAGGAGGTCGTTGATTTGCTCCAGTCCCATATGATGAGGGACCATATATTGGTTGCTGGGATGGTTGTAGTTGCGATGGCGGATTCAGTTGCCCGAGCGAGCCAATTCGAGTAAGATCAGGTGCGGTGCAAAGCAAAAAGTCTGTCCCATCTGTATCACCAGGCTGAGCTGAGACCATGAGTCCGTCCAAATAACACGAGTGTTCAAGTCCTGACACGATGAAGGGACGGGATGGAGGTTGTGGAGGAGAGTTTCGGGTGGAGCTGTTGTAAGCAGGACGATGGGGACTAGATTGCTCGTCTGGATGCAATAGATTTGGGGGTGGAAGTCGCACATGAATGAGTTGTAGAGGTCGCACACCACCCGCAGCACTTGGGGTTGGTCCATATGAAAAACCATATGCCGAGGTTGATGGAGAGAAGTACAAGCGTACGCCGTTCATGGTGATGGCTATCAATTGAACCCCTGTCCGCGATTCACCCAGGTCTAGGACATGTAGAGCCACGATCTGGAAGTTTGAAGGGGTAAGAGCGGGAGAACCAGGTGCCTTCTCTTGCGCAGACTTGTAAAGGTTCGACATAGTTTGCACATGGTGCACAGCCTTCTCGCTGCTGGCCTGGTAGATAGATATCGAATTCCTGGCAGACAGGGTATAGAAGCAATTGCGTTTTGGATCCGAGATCACAGCAACAATACGGTCTAGGTGCAAGGGTCATTCATCGCAAATCAAGCGCAAAACAAATTACAGACCTTCCGACTTTGGTGAGGTGAATCTCGGGAACAGACTCTGTACACTTCCAACAGAGTGGTTGACTATATGCACCCGTTTCGAAAACCAAGATTCGCTCTGTTGATAGTGCAGTTCGTACAAACAGCCATCTTGAGAACCACACATAAAGATACGCCCGTCGGACATCCCCACAACAGAGGTCATTTCGATGTCAGTCGAAACTGTCATGTCTGTTGCATACATCCTGATTTCTTTGCGGGAGCGATTATTGGTACCAATGACGGTGGACATGGACAACCCGATTAAAAGAACGGATACAGGAGTGCAAATGACCATGACGGATGTGATTTCATCGACGAAGACGCCGACTTTTGGTTTTACGACAGCGACATGCGTGATGACGTCCGGTTGGTCGACAAAGGAGCTTATGTCTTGGCTTTGGAAGGGTTGTATCAGTTTGAAAAGAGGCATGAAAGGGATACATACCCCTCAATATAATCCCAAAGAAATAGTTTATGATCAATTGATATCCATACACGCTCAATTTCGGGTATTAGACCCATGTGTGAAGTAACGTTGGTAGCTATGAAGCTTTAGGCCAGCATCAGAGCCGAATGTATTAGACTTACTGTTATAATACTGAAACAATGCTTCAGGAATGCCTACAAGCCTCCTCTTCTGAAATGGTGCCCGGTAGTCGTCGGGAAAGACACTATAGAGTGCTGACGACTGCCCACCAGCTGGCAAGGGAAATTAGAGATGATATGAATATGCCAGAGAGTTTCCAACTTACGGGTCGTAAGCATGTCACCGATATCTGGTATTATCTGGGCATCCTTCATGAACTGGTCGTGCAATACGCGACTTGCGCTTTGGAGACCTGGAAGGTCAAGGGCAGAGGTCGGCCTTTGTTGGTTTTGGTTCTGACGAAATACTGATGAGGGTGTGCCTATACTTGGCTGCTGTCGATACGACGTAGAGAAGGGGGCTAGTGTAGCCATTACAGTGGTGTTCTGTGCAATGAGCAGTTCAACAAGTCGCGTCAAGGAAACAAATCTTACAAACCACGTGCCATTTTGCCTTATATGGCTCTGGCCATCGTTTCACTTCAAGTTCTTGTCAGAATTTTCATTGATCTTGCCTACTGGAGTCTGGAATAATGGGCAGTCTGACGAT